CTGGGTTACCAATGTGTGAAAGCACATTCTGGCAGCTTGAATCAAGAAATTGATTTTATTTCCAAGTCCGAATCTCTCCGTTTCGTTTTCCGATCCCTATCTTCAAAATGCTAGGAATTTATTATCAATATTCATAAAACATTAAATAAATGATGTTTATTAGTTTAGAAAATGGAATTGCTAAAAATTATTCCGTCAATTTTCTGTCTAATATTTTATAAAACGGAAATTTAGAAAACGGCCTACCTTCTGAAAAAATTCTGCCTAAAACTGACCCCAAACGATTTTTAAATTTCACACTGAACAAATAATAATATTTCCTGTTATTTTGATGTGCACTTACAAACAGAAATGATACACTGGACTAATTGATTATAAATATTTTGTTGTTTTTAGATTAAGGACCGAAAGTCATATTTTATAGTTTTCTTATCACCTTAAATATATCAATTCTTAAAATAATATTTATAGCAGGAGTATAAAGATATTAAAAAAGAGGAAAAACCGTGGATTATTATTTGAAACTCAAGGATTTAGAAAAGCTGTCATGATATAATGGTGTGAACACTACATATTTCTTTTATTTGTCTCTATCTTTCAAAATAACTGCACAAAATCAATGCTTGATTTATCCTTTCTCGCTCAAGGACTTTTTCAGTAATTTAACCCAACTGAGACTATAGGGTTGTCCGTTCTTCATGACTTACCATTGGCTTCATAGAAACCATAAGATATACTGAGTGGCTGAAATTAGAAAAAGTTGTGCCCTTTCAGGGTCATTAAAATAAACCAAACAGATTAAAGATATCTGCTGCTGTTCCTGAAATATTGTGAGAAAACTGAAAATAGTAGTTTTAGAAAATGCCATCTAGCGTCCTTATTTCACAACAGACTTCCACACTTCCAAGTTCTACCCTATTTCTGTACACTTTTAAAAATACCAATGAGGCTGGTGTCTTTCTGGATATAATTGATGATATCTTCTAATTATTATTTTTTTATGTATAACTCATAAATCTCCCTCTTCTCTGTAATTGAAAATTTTACCATAATTTCAATTTCAAATAAAATAGTAGAGTTGCATATTGACGTGTTCGTAGTTTTATCCTCTATCTGTTACTGTTAAGATCCAATATGGCGCCCATAAAAAAAACAATTGAATGTTGCATAGCTGAAACTAGTGCCGTAGAAATTTTCTTTCGACGAAAATGGATTCCTCGTATCATCTTATCCCCCAGTACGAAATTTCAGTTCTTTCTGTTGTGAAATAAGGACGCTTTTTCACAATACTTCAGGAACTACAGTAGATATCGTTGATCTGTTTTGTTTATTTAAATGACCCGGAAAAGGCGCAACTTTTTTCTACTTTGAGCTATCCTGTATATCTTTCAGTTTCCCAGATGCCAATGGTGAGCTACGAAAAACGGACTACCTTAATTAATTAACTAACACATAATTTAATTCAGACATAAATGAGACAAATCTCATATACCGTATCGATGGCCTAATTTTTCTATGCATTCAGTAAACTAGGGTAGTAGATCAAAAAATTGCACTACACCCACATGCGCCTACACACCTTTCTCCTAGCAGCTTAAGCTTAAGTTAATTAAGTAAATTTCTAACGCACTCCATCCTTATTATTGTGAGATGAGGTAACATTGAAGGTAGGTCACGAACGCGATTTAACCTGTTCGACGCTGTGTTGTGTCAGTGGCGCCGAAAAAATCAGAATTTGGCGGCACGCTGGCAGAGAATGTAATAATTATTTTTATCCGTAGAGACCTGATGGCTATACTGATTGTGAGTGTTGAGTATTATAAAAAGTAGTAAAATTTACATTGACAACTAAAAATTTAGATAATACAAATACATTTTTTTAATGAATAAAATGGAAATATGCTTTAAATCCACTAATTAATTAAAAACCTTATTCTTTGATGACGTATTCGAATTCTCCACGAAAAATGTCTTAATACTGTTCGAAATTTCGATTAAAAGAAAAAAATGAAAATAAAAATGTTTATTTTTATAATAACTTCCAAGCAAAAAAAAAAGATCCTAACTTGACTGGTCTTGTAGGTATCTCTTACGATATCCAAGACCAAGAGGCCAGCATGAACAATGGGCATCCACATTTTTACATTCATATATAAAAGGGGCATTTAACACCCTGCGTATTATAGTTATAGTTGCTTTGATCATACATAAAAAATATAGATAAAATATGATGGTCGGCAACTTGACGTACTAACAACTAATTTATGGTTTAGCGACTTGCCAACCTCTACCCACACGAGAAGCAGGTGTATTCAGACATAAAAAAATAAAATTAAAGAATTTGTCGCTTTTAATAAACAGTAATAGTAACTACGCCACTGTTATGAAGCATATTAAAATAGAAATAGTTTAGTTTTATTGTCGCTAAAGGAGGTAGCTGGTTGGTCATCATCCAAGCAACAATGTAAATAACACTGTTTATTAACAATTCATGTTTTCGCATAATGAATCCTTAGAAATGTGTGTTAATATGCTATACAAAATAGTTAGGTCATTCATACAGAATGTGGTAAAATATGAATGGATTAATTTAAATACAAAGAACTCAGGTTTGCATTTATTTTTAACATGGATCCTTCAAATTTATGGTTAGCTATTATAAATTGTTAATAATAATAATAATAATAATAATAATTACTATTTTACTAAAAATTTATTTTATACAAGAGGGTACGATAAATGGTAATTTTAAATATATTACATGGGTACTATACTGAACTATAATATTTAGAAAAATATACAGGGTACAACACAACAACGTGTTAAAAATGGAAAAAGGATTTTTATTGTCCAAATTTATGAATACTTTCTTACAGAAATACACGTTTATTTTGACGTTCTTGTTTTTTAATAGGCCAATCAATAGAGCATTAATCAGTGATTTTGTGACAAAAATAATAGTAGCAAACGGACTGTGCCATCATATAAAAGACAGTGTGTAGATATGTTTCTTATTCCAATTTACCATTAATTAATTTTTTATGCAAAAATAAATTTTTTTTTTAGTTTTTTTTTATAAAACCTAAACTAAGGAAGCAATCTGAATCATATTGACAATTTGTAGAGAATCGAAATACCAATAAAACGAGAGGTCGATCCGATCTTCCCCAACTACTCAACCGCGTACGCGTGTTCGGCCGTTTTTCAGCATGTTTAGCGGAATTTTTCATCTATTTCGCATCAGTTTATCGGAAAATTAGAATATACGTTTTGTAGTACTATAGTTACTTCTACTTTTAAAATCCGGCTGAAAAATTAAAATCGGACCACCTACAATGCATCCAGAAAATATCTAAAACAGTGCACAAAAAAATTCAAATTGCAATTGTGCCAAAACTAATGGTCCGACAGCGCCTACTTTGTGCATACTTAAAGTACATATAATTCACTACTTTTGTGCACAGAGTCAGCTCTTCAACTAAAAAAATGCTGGAGTAATGGATTTAAAAAAAAAAACACAAAATTTTCCGATTTTTCTGGGTTTTCTGCGTTTGTAATTAATTATCCAGTCCGATCGATCAACCTCTTGTTTTATTCGTATTTCGTTTCGATTCTCTACAAATTGTCTCGTTATAGTATTCAGATTGTTTCGTTAGTTTAGGTTTTATATGCAAAAAATTTTAAAAAATGCGGTTTTTGCATAAAAATGTTTATAAAAAATTAATTAATGGTAAATTGGAGTAGGAAATTCGAATGGAGTTTTTACGTAAATCTAAATCTATCTGAACGTATCTTTACAAACTGGTAATTTGTATCAGAACTGTAAAAAGTATCTAAAAATGTTAAGAGATCATTTAGCTCAAAATTAAATTTGTATATCAGAGATAAACATTTTATTTTCTTTCAGTGACGTACCATAATTTTTTAAGAACATGTAATCCACATACCAGTGGTATGAGTTTAGACTTATTTTTTAAGACCTTTGAATCTGAGGTTCTTTGAAACCAGAAAATAAAAAAAATTGCATGATTTGATGAGATCTATTATTAGATATTACATTCCTGATATATCAAATATACTTTTCTATAAACTCTCATCATGATAAACAAAAATAGAATAATTTTTCCTAAAACAACTTCTAATGGCTCTACCATCCTTGCAAAACCAAATGTAAGAGATATTCTTCAAACTTGTAGTATAGTATTGAATTATCTAAATGTAAAGTTTGACCTATAAGTGGCGTCTAAGCTTTAAATATCACCGTTAAAAAAAAGAACAAATATGACACCGAGGAGAATGTTGTACAGATTTAGAGAGACTACCTATATATAATAATGAGCTTTTTTCATAATACACCGTTTACAATTCCAAACCATGGCATTTTTATGAATTCACACAGGCACAATGTGGGCAAATAGATTAACTTGATACCTCGAATTAATTTGTCAAAGTTGTTTAAAAATTAGAAATAAATTCATCTACGGTTCTTTAAAAATTTCCCAACATTTTGGTTTTTGATTGCATATTAAAAAAAAACAAAAGTTTTTTGTTGGAAATGAGTATTCAATTCTGCGAAAGAAGATTGTCTCTGACAGCAAGCAGTTGCTTTTCTCAGACATCTTTCAATTCTGATAGCAGTGGATAGATTTTACGTAAATATTCATTCGTAATGATCTCACTTTTGTTCTTACTTTTATTTACAGTTTTTATTAATGATCGTAAATATGCCTAAAGGTAGAACCACTCAATAACCACTAGTTCCCAGTGTAGGTGTAGTTTACTAACGAATTATTAAAAATAATTTATTAAAACTGGTTGGAGTAACTCATCTTGAAATAGACCGTTGGAAACAGTATCTCCATCTCTCGTTATTGATCTGTGCCATACCCAATTTAAAAATAATATTTATTAGCAGCATGTCACATGTACACGAGCATAGAGAGATTGAAATACCTCTCATCTTACAATTAGATTAAGAAGTGATCAAACAGGTAACTCACCTCCAATGCATCTATCATTTCTTGGAATCCTTCTTGGGGAAGGAAGTCGATGCTAGTCTCGGTTGAGACTAATGATTGCTGCAATTGGATAACGTCATCCGTGAGATTCTGTTACAAGAAAACCAATACAGTCAGCATATTGTAAATGCTTTTTAAACCAAAGAAATAAACCATTTAAAAATGCATGGCCCATGGTGTAAAGCTAAAGGATTCAATTTATTGGAGAAAAGAGAGAAACAAATACAGCACACTTAACAGCAATTCCAAATATATATTTAAAAATTAATCAAAATGACCTATAATAAAATTTCTAGCTAAGAAATATTCAGTAGATTAATTACCTCAGTCTTTTTTCCAATAAATTATAGCACCTTAAATTTCATTTATCAGCATTTTTGTTACAAATAATTAGCAACCATTGTTATGTCTTGGTAAATTAAACCTTAAAACCTTCAGTAAACTGTAAATTTGTCAAAAATATTATGTTTTGTGAGTAGTGAATATCCAGCAAATCCCTTTATCTTTATCTATAGAAATTAGCTATGAGCAATAAAAGTCAGTCATAATTGCATATGTACCATATACATATATTTTCCTTGATTCGAATTCAAGTATTTAGAGGATATGCAAGAGAAACTACCTCATGCGATTAGTTTGCTTATGAACTAAAATATTAATAAAATATTAAATTGCAGAAAAAGTAGAACTAGCTTATATGTATAAGATAAATTAACAGAATCATACTTTTCCAGTTAGTCAATATTTATGTAATTCGTAATAACGTTAATTATTTTTAAAGTGGAAATAATTTAATAATTATTTTTACAATGGTTTAGTTTAGTTTAGTTAAAATAGTTTCATGGTATCAAATAGAGTCCACATTTCGTTTGTTTTTAAACTTGTATGTAAAAAATTATTGATATAGTTTCGGTTAATGTTGAAAGTAGTAAAGAACATTGTTGCTGTATTAAGGAACTAAATTATGCCAAGTTTATTGATGTAATTGGTTGGTCATTAAATTTAATCATAGGGGTACATTTATGGCGTAATAAAACTGGCGTTTGCTATAAAAAATTAAGAAATAAAATTCTATTTCTCTTGACATACGTAAGAGAACTTTTCTGCCAATTTGCATATGAATATTAAAAGTGTGCGAGTTTTATTCTTTTAACAAAAGAAGAATTAATAGGATTCTCAAATATAAAATTCAATTATCATCGTCTATTAACACTGGTCTTTTAAATTCAAATGTAAACTAAACATAGATAGCAAAATACACGGAATGATTCATAGCAAGTTCGAAAAAGATTTTGAGGAATATCAAGCATATAAGATGTTGCAGGTACACCTTATAATGTCCAATTTTTAACAGACTATTTATCAAAAGTGAAGTTGAGCTGAAGAAGAGAATAACTGTAAATTCAACATCTTGTAAATACCAAACCGTAAAAAATTAGACACAGGCTGATAAGGCAAACCTGCAACCTTTGAGATTTATCTTTTTCACGTTTTTTTTACACTTCCTGTAAAATACCCTGTATCTTGTTGCTAAGAATGAATATATAGTCCAATCAATAGGTAGAAGAGCTTCCAAAAAATACCACATGGAAACAAAAAATATGGTGATATAGGAAAAAAAAATTCTAAGAAAGATAGTGTTTTTTTCAAGTGGTGCATAAACGGCGAAGTTAACGGAAAAAATTCATAAAAGTCAAAAAACGGTTTTTTATACTTTTATGAATTTTTTAGATTAAATTCGCCGTTTTTGCGCCTCAGGAAAAAACACTATCTTTTTAAGAATTTTTCCTATATTACCATATTTTTTATTCCAGGTGGTCTTTCTTGTAAAAACATTAGGTCGTGACAGTTTGATTGGACTAATAGAATAGTTTAAAGTGAATTGTTCGACAAAATATTTTCATTCAAATCAAAACTATGGCATAGTTTTAAATTTTAAATAACAACCTAAATATTTCATATTTGTAACTAAATTTAAGAAATTTAAATTAATATTAGACAAAATAAAAATAAGTATATGGGAAAAATTTTCTATAGTAACTAGATATTTTCAGTTCCTTTAATGCGGAAGAATTACTAAAATAAAAAATTAATTTACGATAATAATTTTATAATTAGTCATTTCTTTTCCGTTCTACTAAATTTCATATATTTAAAAAATTTAAAAATTTATGAAAATAATATTTTGTCGTGTGAGCAGTTTTTCGTAAGAGTAATAGTAATACTTCTAAAAAATTATCCTGTACATCTTTAATCATTAATCATGTTCACAATAAATACATGCATTTCAAAAATTTGATTACTATCCAATTAAAACACAGTAAACCCCAAAAATCAAATTTTTCAAGCGACTTACCCATAAGTTTAAAAAGCCAAATTTCAACGTGACCAAAAGCAGTTATATATAAAGTTTTTTATTATAATAATATACACAGTATTAGTGCCCAGTAAAAGTTAAATATTAAAATTAAAGCTATGTTAATCAAAGACATGCACAATGATTGAAAACCCAAACAAACAACACAATTATATTTCACCTTCTTCAGTTGGTTGCTGTCATCGGTAGGGCTGACAGTTAAATCTGTAGAAGTCGTTGGCTGCTTGTGGGGCCCTAGAGGTGGAAGTTTTTGGTCTGGGATAGAGTGTGGAGGTGAATCGTCACTGATTACGTCCTCGGCGATGCTCTCGGACAGTTTTTTTGCCGCGGATAAATGTTCATCGACCGATTTCGCGACTGTAACACCGGAACTACCCGTAAATGAAATTCGCGTTTGTTCCGTAGTCTCATCTCTCTCAATATCAGTTGCTACGATGGGTTCTGAAGATAAATATGTGCTTTTGTCTTTCCAACCTGCTATGCCTCCTGGTAGATTGTACATCATGTACTCTGATCCAGGTCTAGCATTGCCAAGTGATTCTCCATCAGGTTTGTTGAAAGGAGAACCTCTACCACTAGAGCTGTCTGAATCGTCGTCTTTATCTGGCCGACCATCAGATGGCTTGGCACTGTCTCCTGATGCTTTTAATTTATTTTGTTGAGCTAGAGCCAATTGCCAGGTATCTTCTGCTTCATCGTAGATCATTTTTGTTATCCAAAATGTTTCATCCAAGTCTATATTATGTGCCAGTAACTCCAAATGATCAGAGTTAACTTCAGGAGCTGAATGTACAATTTCCGTTTCTGCTTTTGTCGGTTGCTGAGCCAAACATATCTGCCAATTTGTTTCTGCTTCATCGTATATACCTTTCGTTACCCAAAAGCTTGTATCTTTAGATAAATTACAATTAAATATTTCCAATGAATCGTCTTCAGGACTTTTCGATTTTCTTCTAGTGAGTTTATCAAATATATTGCTAACAATACTCTTAATTATTCCTGTTTTTTTCTGGTCACCATCTGAGTCTTCCTCTTTCGATTTTTGACGTTTGACTTTGCCTTCTTTTTTGCTGCTCTTCTTATTTGTTTGTTTTGTTTCTTTTATCTCATCGACATCTTCTGTTACTTCTCTAGGGGGAAGTTGTTCCTTTATAATCTCCTCATATTTCTTAGCCTCGGCTAAAAAGTCGTTTACGGCAGCAATTTTCTGTTTATCTGTTATTGATGTTGGTATGCTTCCTATTTCTGCCTCATCATGCTCATCTTTACTATTTTTATCTGTTTTTATATCCTCAGTTTCAACCAGTTTTGGAAGTTCTTCGATAACAGTTTCTGCTGCTACTAATTTTATTTCTTGAGATGCGGTTTGTTCCACAAATTTATCACCTACTTCTACTTTTTCTTTCTCTATCTCCTTTGCCTCCTCTGTTTCTGAAACTACTTTGATTTTTTCTGCTAACTTAATTTCTTCAGTAGGGGTAAGTTCAACCAACTTCTCACTGTCTATGAAATTTATGTTTTCTTCAGCGTCGGATTCATCATATTGAATTAATTCAACTTCTTCCTTTGAAGTTAATTCTATAGGTTTCTCGTATGGAATTATTTCCTCTATTTTACATTCTACCGTTTCTTGCAAAGGCTGCTGCTCTGATGTAATCTCTAATGTACCCACAATATTTGCGTCATCTTCCAAAGTTTTGCTGCTTTCAATTTCTGCTTTTTCAATATCCAAATTTTCTGTCAAAGTATTTTCTGATTTAATCAGTTCATATTCCTCTCCTTTTTGATCTTTTGATATTTCTTCCTTTAATATTTGTTGCGGTATTTCCGACTCCTCAGTCTTCATGCTTTCTACATCTTGTTGAACCTTTTTATGGTCTGATTTTGATTTTCTGTTCTTTTTCTTGCTTGATTTTTCAGTATCAGAAGGAGAAGCATGATCATTTGATTTTTCTTGTTTTTCTCTTTTTGGACTAAGTACCCTAGATATTATTTTTCCCATAAAACTATCAACTTTTCCTTCTGAATCTTTCTTTACGTTCGTTTTTTCAATTTCTGGTTCTTTAATATTACATTTAGTATCTTCAGATGTAAATAGTTTTTCATTTTCTATAAAATCGTGGATTAAGGAAGTTTCAATCTTTGGTGATATTTCCTGCACTGATTTTTTTATTTCACTTGGTTGTTGTGTTTCTATATTTGTATGATCTGCTTCTTCAGAGTCTTGGATTTGTTTGTTTTTCTTACCTTTCTTCTTTTTATGTTTCTTAGGTTCTTCTGTTAAATCTTTAACGGCTTGTTGATCATCCTCGTCTTTTTTGCTAGTGACTGCATGTTTAACAGAAGAAATAATACCCTCTAAAATGCCTCGACCTTTTTCTTTTCTCTTTTTAGATTTTTTGTTTAGTTCTTTATCTTCGACTTCCTCTTTTATATCTTCTGAATGTTCTTCTAACTCATGTGTGATAGTTACATCAATTTTGGGACTTCCAGGAAGAGTATCTATTACTTTGTCTGTTTTTGATTTAACTATTGAAGCCCAACTTTTTAATGGTGATTTTGTTTCTACATAACTCTCAGATTTTGTAGGTATATCATCCTTCACCACTGTGGTACTCTCAGTAAATTTTATTTCGAATGAAGTCTCATCTCGCTTACTGGTTCTCATTTCTTGACTATCTTCGGGTTCTTGATAACTTTTTGATCTCGTTCTTGATCTGGAACGATCTCTTTTACTTAATACTGGTACGAATCCATCTGAATCTGTTTCAGGTCGAGGTTGTGTTACAGTTTCCTCAGTTACTTTAATTTGAATTTCAGGTGTTTTTTGTGGTGAATGTTGTCTACGTATTGGTTCTTCATTTATTTTTGAAACCAACTCACTTTGTTGTGATGATAGTATTTCTGCGTACGTTCTAAAACTTGAATCATCTGAGGTGATAATTTTTTTATTATCGGTATTATCTACCGGTTCCCGTAAAGCAACATCATTCACATCAAGATTTGCAGCTCTAAAATCATCTTCTTTTATGGTAAGAGGTTGATCATTATCTAAAACTTCAGCTTCAATTATTTTTTCCTCATTAGTAATGTTTACCGGCTGAGATTGAGGATATAATTCCACAAGATCTGTAGTATTCTGCGGAGATGCTAATTCTGTTCGGGATTTAGTTTCAGTTACAATATATCCTCTATCTTGGGCTACTAAATCTGGCAAAATTCCAATATCGCAAGTTTCTTCTAGGTTTACTTTGGTTTCAATTTGTTCTCTGGGTTTAGTTGTTGTCTTTTCCTTTACAGGGGAGATACTTGGTTGAGGAGAAGATTCTCTACTTCTTCCTGTCTTGATAATATCTGCATATGTTAAATGACTATTAGAACCAGATATCGCATCACTTACAACTGATTCAGTTTGGAGTTCAGTTGTTTCTGTTTGTTGTGATTCATCAACGTCAATGTTATCGACATTTTCCACTAAAATTGGTTTCTTGTGTTTTCTCGACTTGCGTTTAGTTTTATTTACCTTTTCTGTAGCTATATCATCTTTAGAAGTAGCCTTTACATCAGGCGAAATAATTTCTAGAGATTCCTCTGGAGAAATATCACAAGATTTAGATGTAACAACGGCTTCACTAGAAAGTTTCTCTTGTTCTAGGAAACTAGTCGTAGTGCCTTTAATAGTATTTATTTCGACTTCTACTGATTTTGTTATAGTGTCTTTTAGAGTTATCATTTTAGTTTCATCTAATTTATCTGGTTCTAAACTTATATCTTCAACTGTCAGATCGTCTTTATTTTCTACGTAATAAGTGTCTCCAGATTTGTTTTTGCTAGAAGCGATGGTAAATTCAATATTTTCTTCTAATGGTAGCTCCTCAGACATATCTACTTTCTCTAATGATTTGACTTTAGGATTTAATTTTGTCTGTTCTTCCGAAAGAGTAGATACATGATCTGTATATTCAAGTATAACTTTTGGTTTCGGAGAACTATCTCTGCTTGAAGTTGTTAGAATTTTGGCATAAGTCAAAACATTTGACTCGTAAGTCGCCGGTTCTTTAACAGCTACTGGTTCTTTTATCCGTTCTTTCCTATTAATTGAAGAGTCTACAGTGTCAATTTCTGAAGTTGGTTCAGTTGGTTCTGTAGCAATTCTTGGTGATTTAGATCTTTTTCTAGATTTACGCTTTTGTTTCTTAGGTGATTCATCTTCTACTGATATTTCTTCAAGTTTTGCTTCAGGTTGAGGTTCGTCGTCAGATTTTTGTTTACCATCAAGTTTGGAACGTGAACGTGAGCGCGATTTTTTACCTTTTTTAGTTACAATCTCAGTAAATCCATCAATTTCCTCTTCCTTTATTGTTGGCTCTTGAGGTTCCTCTGACTCTGTAACTTTTATTTCAACTTTTGTTTTTTCAGTTACTTTTATTGGAGATGACTCTGTTTGCTTTACTGCTTGTTTTTCTGGAATGTTGCTTGCTACAACATCAGCATATGTCTTATCACCTTTCTTTAAATTTTCCCAGACATTTATCGGTTGCATAACTTCAGTCTCGACCTTCTTGGTAATTATATCAGATGCAAAAACGCTTTCCTCTTGAGGTTTAGGCTTACGTTTTGAGGATTTTGTTTTACCTTTTGGAGATTCAGTTGGCTTTTCTTCCTGTTTCTCAGCAATTACTGTAGTTTCAAGAGGCGATGACGTAGGTGTAAAATCTAAGTTTTCTTTGTCTGTAATTTGCAGATCTGTATGTGTTTCAGGTGATACGTTGTCACTAATGTTGGTCCAGGATAATGTTGTGGTAGTAAGAATATCAGATGTGCTACTAGTTTGCAATTCTGAAACCACATTTTTAGGCAACAGGCTCTCTTCAATTTTTTCCTGCTCTATGTCAATTTTGGATTGAACTTCAGGTTTGTTACTAACACTGTCTTTAATTTCAGCTTGAATTAACTCATTAGAATCGGTTTTATTATCCTCGTGAATTATAAGTTCGTCAGACGGTTCATGTAAAATTTCGTTGACCCATAAATTGCTAGCGTGATCCGGAGGTATTTCAAAACCTGAGTCGAATTGATCAGGTTCATTTGGTACGTTATAGACAGTTTTACTGTAGTCCCATACTTGACTTTCTTCATAGGACTGTGCTGGCGACTTGTATACTGCTGAGTAGTCGATATAATCAGTTGATTTCTGATCCGATCCTGGTATAAACTCAGCTGCATTGGGATTGAGACGTGATTCTGCTTTTGGAATAAATTCAGATGCCTCTGTTGACAAGTCAGATTTCATATCAGAACAGGATTTGGGCACAAATTCCGTAGCCTTATCTATAATCGCCTCAAATTCTGAAAGTTTGCGGTCGTCGGATGGTTCACCGTCAGAAGGCATATCTTCTACTTCATCAGAAACTTTACTTTGTACTTTATCTTTAGGTGGTTCGTCAGCTTTATTAATGAATGCTTGTATTTGTTCTTCAGTTTCATCAGTCTTTGGGAGTTGGTGGACCACTTGTACTGTTGTAGATGAAAAACCACATTTTCCATCTTCATTTTTATCTTCTACATTTTCCGGTGCATCTTCTTCCATGACAACTGAAACTTGACTTTGAACGTTGTCTTTAAGTAGCTCTTCAGCTTCACTCATCAATCCTTGTGGTTGTTCTTGATTAATTGTATCCATAGATATTTCTTCATCAGTTTTTGAAACTTGGCGGACTACTTGTGGAAGTTGTTCACCTTCATCTTCATCTACTATATTTTTCGATGCATTTTCTTCGTCAGAAAATTTAGTTTGTATATTATCTTTAGGTGATTCTTCAGCTTCACTAATCAATCCTTGTGGTTGTTCTTGATTAATTGTATTTATAGATATTTCTACATCAGTTTTTGAAACTTGTCGGACTACTTGTATAAGTTGTTGTTCACCTTCATCTTCATCTTCTGTATGTTTCGATGCATTTTCTTCGTCAGAAACTTTAGTTTGTATATTCTCTTTAGGTGGTTCTTCAGCTTCACTAATTAATTCTTGTGGTTGTTCTAGATTAATTGTATCTGTAGATATTTCTTCATCAGTTTTTGAAACTTGTCGGACTACTTGTATAAGTTGTTGTTCACCTTCATCATCTTCTGTATATATCAATGCATTTTCTTCTTTAGTTTGTACATTCTCGTTGGGTGGTTCTTGAGTTTCATTTAGCAATTCTTGTGGTTGCTCTTGATGTATTTTGTCTGTAGAAACCTTTTCATCAGTTTCTGAAGCTTGGGAGGTTAGTTGTTCTTCATCTTGATATTCTTTATTCTTTTCATCACTAATTATATCGGAAAGGATGTCATCACTTTGTATATGCGATGAAGGTTCGTAAATTTCTCCAGAAGAATTGTAATTAGCAGTATCGTTTTGTCCAATTCGCTCTATCTCCAACTTTTCAGACTTAACATCTTCAGTACTGTCAGTCTGTCCTTCAAATGACTCTATGATGGATTTCTCAGGATTTTCAATCGAGTATATCACATCTGATGTTTCAGAAATTTCTGTTTCATCTAATTTTTCACTTTGATCTTTAACTAACTGACTTGTTTCATTTTCGTTAGAAAATATCTGAGCTTCTGTGTGTTTTATTTCTTGGGATATAAAATCTATAATAGTATTAGTGCAAGTTGTTGTGGGTGGTATTTCCTCTAGGTTCGACGTACTTACAATCATTGTGGTGGATTTTAGAGGTGAGTCTTTGGTTGAGGGATAGGATGGAGACTGGGATGACTCGATTATTTCGGTCGATACGTCTGATGTTACGCTTGATATTTCTTTGTTACCGGAATTTAAGTCAGGTATATTTATTTCAAGTGGTTCTACAAATTGTTCTGTAATAGTCTCCGATTGAATTGCTTTTGATTTCTGTTCATACCACGCAATTTCAGATTTTAATAAATACAAAATATCGTATTGAGGGCCTTCAATTATAGGTGTGGTTAGAGGTCGCTTAATCAATTCGTCTTCGTTTTCTAAAAATTCATTGTCCTTAGTTGTCGATTGTTGAGTATAATAATTATCTTCTTCTCTAGCCATCTTTAATATGTCATATTTAAGTAGATCTTCTTCTATTGTTATTTGTTGTAAGTTTTGTTTCAGTTCGTCGTTTGTGCTTCCTAATATAAGCGGTTCTTCATTAACTTTTTCCGATTTATTACTTATAAAATTAGTTTCAGCTTGACTTTGTCCAATAACATCATATTTCAAAATATCTTCGTCAACTGTTAATTTCCTTGTAACTTGTGTTACATCTTCAGTTATATTTGTTGTGTCAGACAATGAAGTTACAAGATCTCCTTGAAGACTCTCATCACGAACGGTGTCCTTTCTAGATGTAACTCCTGAAACTGATTCTCCCAGAGGTAAGTTTTCGTTTTCATTTTTGTTCACTAACAGATTTGTTTTTTCAGCAATTACATGCTTTTCTAAAGCCTGATTTTGTCCAATAATATCGTATTTTAAAATATCTTCATCAAAGTCTAGGATATTCTGAGCCTGTGCTACATCTTCCTTAATTTTATTTTCTATAATAGGCACAATTTCTTCAGGTATTTTTGTACATATTGGTGGTTCTTCTTCATTCACTAAGGCAGACACTGTTTCAATGATTCTTTCTGTTTCAGTTGCTTCTGATGTTTCTCCCGTTTTATGGGACGCTGGTTTTAGAGATTTTATAATTTCATCTAAAACAGTATCCGTTTCAGGTATAATTTCTGTAATAAATTCTTTATCAGCACGGCTTTCCTCTATTTTATCCATCGATAAAACAGTAACTTCGGTTTTAGTAACAAATTCATCGGTTTTAATTATTTCTGACGGCTGTTGTTCACTTTCGCGTTTAATTATGTTCTCAGTCAGTGTGTTTGTAATTTCACAAATTTCTTCAGGTGAACTTTCTGCAATATTCACTTCTTTAGTATATACTGGTATTTCTGAGCAGACTACCTCAACAGTTGCAGGTGTTTCAGTTTCGTTTAACTTTTGTTCTGGACTTTCAGAAATCTCTTGATGAACTTCGTCTAAAACGGTATCTTTCTTAAGAGTAATTTGAGGTGTAACGTTTTCATCAGATTTGCTTTTCTTTAGAATACCTGCCGATAAAACTGTATCTTCATCTTTACCAACTAATTCCTCTGTATTGATTACATCTGGTGTAAGATCTTTTGGTTCTTGCTGAATTTCTGATTTTGTTACGCTTTCAGTGATTAAAGAGTCGATTATGTGAGTTGTACTGACGACTGGTTTAATAACTTCGTAATGTACTAGAGTATTTGCAGATACAATTTCTTTTTCTGTTTCACCAATTTTATTTGATGTTTCCTCTTCATCTTCTATAGGTGTAGGAACAATTGACTTTTCTTCTATTTCTGAAATTTTCATTTCTTCGACAATTGTAGTTGTATCCAGATTTTCTATAGGAACGCCTTTGTAAACTATTTCTTCTGAATCGGCTCCTCTTTCCTGAGCATTTGATGGCAAAATATGTTCTGGAGATGCTTGTCTATCAGTATCCTCGGATACTTCTGTTATATCACGTTCATCATGTTTATCGTCTACCATTTCATAATCCTTTTCATTAATAAGTACAACATAGGGTATAGCTCCCTCCTGATTTTCAGATGGTGGAGTATTTATTGTTTTCTGTTTCTTTTGTTTAGATCTCTTTTCTTTACTGGAATATGTTTTTGTGTGCTCAGGAATATATAATATCTCCTCCGTTATAACAAACGCCGGTTTTTCTACTGCGTCCGTTGCAGTTTGTTTCTTTTTATGTTTCTTTTTCTTAGATTTTTTATCTGGTTTCATATTATCATCTTCGCTCAATTCGTGTTCAAGTTTACTTTCTATGTTCACCGCTTTTATTTCTGGCTCTTCATGTTCTTCCAGTTGCGTCACATCAACTTGATTTACATTAGATAATGCATGTATTTGATCTTGATTAGATGTTACTTCAGGTTGATCTAAATTAGATTGTACAATGTTTGCCCACGTTCTGCTATCTTTGAAGAGAACTTCTTGTGGCGCATCTTTAGTGGCATCAACAGCAATCTTAGTTGGCTCTATAACCGGTTCTACTTTCTTTTTATGTTTCTTTTTCTTCGATTTTTTATCTTGGGATTCTTCGGTAAATGTAGGTAAAGTTGATGTTTGATTTATATTAATTTCTGTTATGTAATCTTCTGTAGCAGTAGCCTCCGCTAGTTCTTTCGACTGCTCAGGTTTATTTAAGTTACTAGGAATGTATTGTTTACGTTCTTCATCAATGAAATCCTCAAGATTTACAACATTTTCAGTGGGTTCTTTATCTTCATAAAGTAGATCTGAGTCTATAATCGTTTTTGTCGATTGTTTATTTTTCTTTTGTTTTTGAGATTTCTTCTCATCAGTAGTTTGTTCTTTGTCTGGTATGTGTATAATTTTTTCTGTTACTATAAAAGCAGGATTTGAGTCTACAGCTGAATGATGTTTCCTCTTGATCTTCTTTCTTTTATGATCTTTACCAGTTGTAGTAGCATGCTCCTGATCTTTAAGTTCTGGTGTTAATGGCAAATTTTGTTCTTCTTCAAGAGACCCGACCGGAAGGATAGGTTGTTCTGCAAGTATCTCTTTATTATGAGAGGGGACGGTAAATTCATGTCTCTTTTCAATGTTGAAACTAACAATATCTGCCCATGAAGTTGTCGTGGATACGTTTTCTTCCTGAGATCTTATTTGTGCAACGTTATCAATGTTTTCAAGTTGATTTTCTTCATTAATGGAAATATCTACAGAAGGAAGGTTTACAAGTTTTTCTCTTTCAATGAATTCTTGTAGATTAGGAGTTGGTTCAGATGACATTAATATTTCTTCAGTTAATTTGTCAATATCTGGTTTATCAAATACTGTTGAACTAGTTTCATTTTCAGTTTGAGATAGATTCTCATTTACTGAAATATCTGTCTGTTTCGTATCTTCATAAGATGGTATCTCGATATCTTCCACATGTATATTTCTATCATTATCTTCAGTAACAGGTAATATTTCTTCGGTTATCTCAAATGAAAGTTTTTCTTCCTCTAATGGTACATTTTTCTTCTTATGTTTCTTTTTCTTCGATTTTTTATCTTTGGACAGACCTTGTTCAATTGAATTTGAATCTTGTTGTATCTCAGTTGAAACAGTTTCTGATTTAAGGAGTACATCTGGCAATAACTCAGATTTTTGCTCGGCTTGGAAAACAACTGTCTCATCATGTGGTTCTAAATTAGATTGAACAATATTAGCCCACGATATAGATGTTTTATTTTCACTTTCATTTATCAAAGGAGACTCATTTTTTATTGTTGATTCTATTTTATTTCCCAATTCCACCTCTTCAGTTAAAAGTTCTTGTAAATGTTTCTTTTTAGATTTTTTCTTTTTAGGTTTTTTCTCATCGGATTTGTCTTGAGGCGGTTTCGATATCTCAATGTCTACAATATGTTTATCTACAGCATCTCTTTCTACAACATCTCTTTCAACTTTAGCATCATAGGTAGTTGTCTCTTGGTCTTCTTTAGGACTTGCAATACTAGCCCACGTGGATGTTGTAGAGGATAATTCGCTTACTCTATCAGATGTATCTTTCTTTTCTTCATCGATAAATTCTGTTATTGAACTTATTTTCGATACCCCTTTTTCTACAGATGTTTCAGTATGAAGAGCTACTGATGCATCCGGTTTAATCAACATATGTTCTGTTTCGGGTTCAATATCCGTTGAATCTGCAATCGTAACATCGTGTTCTTCAATGGTTTTATATTCCTGTTGGTTCTCTTTCACTTTATAAACATCTGTAGTCACAAATTCTTCAGTATCAACTGGTATTGATTTATTTCCAACAACAGCAGCCCAAGAAGTCGTCGAATTAATGGTAGTATCTGCTCCATCTTGAACTTTTTCCATCTCATATAACTGTTCACTTTTTTCTATTTTAACATCCGTTTTTATTGGCTCATGGTCAACATTAAGATGACGCTTCTTTTTATGTTTCTTCTTTTTAGATTTTGTTTCTTGAGTAGGTTCATTACTTAATTTTGGAGTACTTTTATCAGTTTCAGAAACTTCTTCCGAAGTTTCCAATTTTTTCTCGGGTATAGACAATATTTCTTCAGTTACAATAAACGCAGGTTCCGATGGCTTCTCTACGTGGTGCTGTCTCTTTTTGTGTTTCTTCTTTTTGTTCTTTTTGACATCTGTTGCAGAATCTATATCAAGTTTTATCTCAGGTGACGTTTCTCTTACAGTTGTTATTGCTGAGAATTCCTTAGGTTCTAGTTTATTACTGTCTAATATTTCCGGACTGAAAACTTCTCTCTTTTCACCGACAATTTTAGCCCAAGAAGTAACTGGTTGTGTAGGAGTATTTTCTTCTTGAGTCAAACTTTTGTTTAGTTCAATTTCCTGGACAGCATGCTGTTTTATACTGTCGTTATTGCTGTCACCTTCGTCATCAGAAAATGTCATAGGTTGATCGAGTATATCTATGAAATGATTAGTAGATTCGTCGATTGGTAGACCTCTATATTCAACCTTTTTTTCAGTAACCTTTTCTGTAACGATAGTATTTGTTTGCATTTCCTTTTCAATAACTGCAGAATTTTCATTTTGTACCCCACTTGAATGTACTGGTGGTTCATTATGAATGTCTAAGAGAAGATTTGTGGTTTCTGTAATTACAGTATCTCTTTGAACGTCTTTTTCGGTAGCATCAGTGTTTTCACCTTGTTCTTCGTCCGAAAATATTGGAGGTTCGTCTAATATATCTAAGAAGAGATCAGTGGTCTTATCAATGGGTAAACCTTTGTATTCGACCTTTTTTACGACTTTTTCCTCCACCTTTGCTGTTGCAGGAGCGTCTTTTTGTATTTCGCTTTTAGTAGGTATAGCAGCTTCTTGTTCTACTGTTTGATCAATGCGTGTCTCGAGCTTTTCCTCAACTTTTTCTGCTGTAATAGACTCCTTTTGCAATTCTTCTTCAGTAGACGAAATTTCAACATTTCGTTCTACCATTTTATTAACAGGTAAATCTTTATCCTCCACTTTCGTCTCGGTAACAGTTTCTGTACCTGTAGTGTCTTTTTGCACCTCTTTTACGGTAGCTACAGTGTTTTCATCTTGTTCCTCATCAGAAAATATTGGAGGTTCATCTAATATGTCTAAGAACAGGTCAGTAGTCTTATCAATAGGCAAACCTTTGTATTCAACCTTTTTCTCAGTCCTTTCTGTATTAGTAATATCACTTTGTACTTCTTTTTCAGTAGGTAACGTGACTGCAACTTTTTGTTTTACTGTCTCAACAACGGGCAAATCTTTATATCCCTTTTCTTCCTCGACAACAGTTTCTGTAATTGCATTTGCATCTTTTTGCTCTTCGTTTTCTGTTGCTGCAGTGTCTTCATCTTGTTCCTCATCCCAAAATGCTGGAGGTTCATCTAGTACGTCTAAGAAGAGTTCAGTGGTCTTATCAATAGGTAAACCATTGTATTCAACCTTTTTCTCGACGTTTTCTATGTCTTTTTGTACTTTTTCAATAGGTAGAGTAAATGGAACTTCTTGTTCTACTTTATCAACAACAGGTAAATCTTTATTGTCCTCTTTTTTCTCGACGACAGTTTCTGTAATTACATTGTCTTTTTGCACCTCTGTTTGGGTAGCTGTAGTGTTTTCATCTTGTTCCTCATCTGAAAATATTGGAGGTTGATCTAATATGTCTAAGAACAGATCAGTAGTCTTATCAATGGGTAAACCTTTGTATGCAACCTTTTTCTCGAGGTTTGCTGTGGTAATGGAGTCATTTTGTACTTTTTCAGTAGGTAAAGTAAATGCAACTTTCTCTTCGACTGTTTCAACAACGGGTACATCTTTATATTCCTCTTTTTTCTCGATGACAGTTTCTGTAATTATACTGTCTCTTTGCACTTCTTTTTCGGTAGCTACAGTGTTTTCATCTTGTTCCTCATCAGAAAATATTGGAGGATCATCTAATATGTCTAAGAACAGGTCAGTAGTCTTATCAATAGGCAAACCTTTGTATTCAACCTTTTTCTCAGTCCTTTCTGTATTAGCAATATCACTTTGTACTTCTTTTTCAGTAGGTAACGTGACTGCAACTTTTTGTTTTACTGTCTCAACAACGGGCAAATCTTTATATCCCTTTTCTTCCTCGACAACAGTTTCTGTAATTGCACTTGCATCTTTTTGCCCTTCGTTTTCTGTTGCTGCAGTGTCTTCATCTTGTTCCTCATCCCAAAATGCTGGAGGTTCATCTAGTACGTCTAAGAAGAGTTCAGTGGTCTTATAAATAGGTAAACCTTTGTATTCAACGTTTTTCTGGACGTTTTCTGTGGTGATGGAGTCCATTTGTACTTGTTCAGTAGGTAAAGTAAATGCAACTTCCTTTTCTACTGTTTCATCAACGGGTAAATCTTTATATTCCTCTTTTTTCTCGAAGACAGTTTCTGTAATTACACTGTCTTTTTGCACCTCTTTTTGGGTAGCTACAGTGTTTTCATCTTGTTCCTCATCTGAAAATATTGGAGGTTCATCTAATATGTCTAAGAACAGATCGATAGTCTTGTCAATGGGTAAACCTTTGTATTCAACCTTTTTCTGGGCGTTTTCTGTGGTGATGGAGTAGTTTTGTACTTTTTCAGTAGTTTCAGTAGGTAAAATAAATGCAACTTCTTGTCTTACTGTCTCAACCACGGGTAAATCTTTATATTCCACTTTTTTCTCGACGACAGTTTCTGTAATTGCATTGTCTTTTTGCACCACTTTTTGGGTAATTGCAGTGGTTTCATCTTGTTCCTCATCTGAAAATATTGGAGGTTCATCCAATATATCTAAGAACAAATCAGTAGTCTTATCAATGGGTAAACCCTTGTATTCAATCTTTTTCTCGACGTTTGCTGTGGTGACGGAGTCCTTTTGTACTTTTTCAGTAGGTAAAGTAAATGCAACTTCCTCTTCCACTGTTTCACCAACGGGTAAATCTTTATATTCCTCTTTTTTCTCCATGACAGTTTCTGTAATTACACTGTCTTTTTGCACCTCTTTTACGGTAGTTGCAGTGTCTTCATCTTGTTCCTCATCAGAAAATATTGGGGGTTCATCTAATATGTCTAAGAACAGGTCAGTAGTCTTATCGATGGGTAAACCTCTGTATTCAACCTTTTTATGTACGTTTGCTGTGGTGATGGAGTCTTTTTGCACTTTTTCAGTAGGCAAAGTAAATGCAACTTGCTCTTCTACTGTTTCAGCAACGGGTAAGTCTTTATATTCCTTTTCTTTTTCAATGACAGTTTCTGTAATTACACTGTCTTTTTGCACCTCTTTTTGGGTAGCTGCAGTGTTTTCATCTTGCTCCTCATCAGAAAATATTGGAGGTTCATCTAATATGTCTAAGAACAGGTCAGTAGTCTTATCAATGGGTAAACCTTTGTACTCAACCTTTTTCTCGACCTTTCCAGTGTCTTTATTTTCTTCTTTTCCAGTAGGTAGATTAAATGCAACTTCTTGTTCTACTGTTTCAACAACGGTAAAATCTTTATATTCCTGTTTTTCCTCGACAACTGTTTCTGTGAGTCCACTGTCTTTTTCCACCTCTTTTTCGGTAGCTGGAATGTTTTCATTTTGTTCTTCATCTGAAAGTACTGGAGGTTCATCTAGTAAGTCTAAGAAAAAATCAGTGGTTTTATCAATAGGTAAACCTTTGTACTCAACTTTTTTCTCGACCTTTTCTGTGAAAATATTTCCCCTCTGTACATCTTTTTCAGTAGATGTAGTGCTTGCAACTTCTTGCCCGATTGTTTCGTCAATGGTTAAATCCTTATGTTCCTTCATTTCTTCGTCAACTTTTTCTGTGGTGGCAGTGTCTTTCTGCACTTCTCTTTTTGATGCTAGGATGTTTTCTTCCTCTTCATCCGAAAACGTGGGAGGTTCTTCAAGAATGTCTAAGAAAAGATCCGTTGTCTTATCAATTGGTAAACCTTTATATTCAATCTTTCTCTCGACTTTTTCTGTGGTGATAATGTTATCAATAGGCAAAATCTTGTCCTTCATTTCTTCCTCAAATTTTTCTGAGATGGTAGTGTCTTTTATAATTTCTGTTTCAGTAGTTATAGCATTTCCGACCTCTAGTTCTTCGTCTGAAAATACTGGAGGTTCATCGAGAATATCTAAGAATAAATCAGTGGTTTTATCAATTGGTAAACCTTTATATTCAACCCTTTTCTCAGCTGTACTTGATATTGTATCTGTATTATCTTCTATTTTATTTTCTTGCTGAATTTCTACTGCTTCAATTTCGTTGTTTAAAAATTCGGTAGTTGCTACTTTTACATCCTTGCCTGCTAATGGTGGCTTAGATGTAATTAATTCTCTGTCTATTATTTCGAATGTATCCTCCGGTATGTCACTGGCCTTGTTTTCTATTGCTGTATGTTCTTCACTGGATAATGCTACTTCTACGTCACTATGTTCTATATTTACCCACTGAGAATGCTCTGATTCTGCCTCAGAAATGCTTTCTGCATATACATTAGAACTTAGATTTGTTGCATTTGTAACGTTAGATATTGACTGCAACAATTTTTCTTGGTCTTTATTTAGATTAGTAACAAAAATAAATTCTTGCTCTGCCGTTTCGGTGTCATCCTCTTCAACTTTATCAATTGGTTGACTTTCTTGTGGATTGATAATTTCTGGAGTTTCTTCAAATGATACAGATTTGTGTTTCTTCCCCTTTTTCTTCTTTCGCTTGCTCTCTTTTTCTTGTTTTTCTTCTTCATTAACTATTGCATCAGATTCCTTTCGACTCGTATTAACATTAATTTCTTCAGTCGGTAATTGTTCTCCTTCCTTATATTTTAACAGTGTTTCCTCTTTAAGTTTTAAAAGCACGTCTTTAATATCTTCAGGTTTTGTGTTGACTATTTTATGTTCTAGTACTGGTTTTGATGTAACTTCTGCAGCCTCTAAATATTTAATATCTGGAAGTGTTACCTCAGGAGATTGTGGCTTGATTATTTCCAATATATCCGGCTCCATTTCCTTGGCAAATGTTTTGTCTGTCTCTTTTTCTGATTCCGTTATTAGGGGTTCTAAAACTTCAGGTTTCTGCAAACTTTCAATTTTCTCGTTATCTTGTAAATCGCATATTCCTACTTGAACACTTGTTCCTATTTCCTCATTAATTGATTTATTTGCTAACGTTTCCCCAATATTTGGTATTTCAGATATGTCCGGTTCTGTGTCTTTGGATGTAATAGCATTTTTTTCTATTTCCAGCTTGGTATCACATGTTTCTATGCTTTCCACTTCCTTATCATCTAAACTTGAGAAAATATTGCTTTCAATTGTAAATTGTGTTAACCACGTTGGTTTTGGTCGCGGTTGAATATCTGCGACTATACTCAAATCGGGTTTATATTTTGACAAAGTTTCTAATTTCAGTTGCGAGAGAATGTCGAGCTTATCTGTATCCGGTAAACTTTCCTTTTTCTCGAATTTTATATTCGCACCTGGTTCAACAGCTTGTAAGTAATTAATATTCGGCAAAATTTCTGAGGCTGATATATTTTCAATGTTAGATCTCCTAATTAATGTTGGCTCGAACTCTTTCGTTTCAATTGATTTAATTTCTTCAGTTTCGAATTCGTTTGTAAATGATGTATCACTGACTTTCTCACTTTCAATATCATCGGATTCATCTAAATTAGCCGTTGATAGTTTGCTGACATGTATATAATCAATATTTGGTAAAATTTCCTTTGCTGATATATCTTCGATGTCAGAATCAGCCTTTTCCTTGTCAGCATTATCTAGTTTTATTTCGCTGTCTACACGATATTCTTTTTCATCAGATACTAAATTTTCAATTTCCGTTGTATCGAATTTATTAGTATAAGTCATATCGCTTATTTTTTTGCTATCGTCATTGTCGAAATGAGAAACAATTTCATTTGAATTAGTCAAATTTATTGTTTCATTTATTGTTAATGGAATAATAATTACATCTTCAATTTCTTCCTTCTCTACCAATTCTTCATCCGAAATGACAGTAGGTTCACTTAATGGGCTTACCGTTCTATTATTAGACAAAATTTTGTTCTCTGAATCAATCACTTCTAATTTTCCAACTTCCTCTATGGTTTCAGTTACATTACTAATATTTTCATTAATATCAGATGCGGAAAATGATGTTTCTAACTTCTTTTCTGTCGTAATTTCATCTGTACTTTCAATTTTCCTATCCCTCTTATGCTCCAGAACATTCATAACGTCTTCGATATTTCTAATTTCAGTGTCAACAGTTGAGTCAGATCTTGACAGTGACATTTCATCTAATTCTCTACCTAGATTTGGAGTCTTAATATCTGTGGTTGGCGTTTGCTGACTTTGTAGTAAGAATTCTATAGGTATACCTTGTCGTTTTTTCTTTTTTTGCAACTTTTCTTCGAACAATTTGCATGCTTCTTGCTCTTCGGAAGTAAGATCTTCTGTTTTTAATGCAAGTTTCTTTTTATCTTTTCTCTTAGTCTTTTCTTCAACAGTGAATGTCTTTTTAGGTCTTTCTTTAACAGAACCAAATATTATTTGTTCAATTTCATTATTTTCTACTAAACTACCATCTGCGCTTGTATCAGAACTATTAATCTGTTCGCTATTAACATCACTCTTAAAATCTTCCAGCAACTGATTGTTTCCAATTGTAGCAGTAGTTTCTTCTTTGTTATTTTTTACCTCATTAGTAACATTCGCATTTATTTTTGGAATTATCTGTGTTTCGATAGGCTCATTTGTTCTGTTAACCTTTTCATGCAGAATAAATGCGGAACTGTCATCCGCTAGTTCTTCCTTTTTAAGTGAAACTGAATCTTTTTCAGGATCTGACTTTGTTTGTAATATTGTATTGTCGTATATTTTCTCGATACTACTATTAACAGTTTCATCAATTTCCTTTACTTCTTCATTAGTTGCTTTTCTCCTTTCTTCCTCATCAGTCCTAGTTATTTCATTAGAAACAGAAGTTATTTCTGTTACCATTTCAGCATTGCCTTTTTCTATGTACTCTATTTCTTCAATGGGAGTTTCAATGAACTCCATTTTCAATGATACTACAGGCTTCATTCTGATTTCTTCATGTGTTATTAAAACTACTTTATTTGTGTCTTTTAGAGTAACTGTATCACCAGGTTCTTCAGTAGCAACTTCCTGCAGTTTTTTGGAGACTTCCTGATTATTAGTAGTTTCTACAGAACTCGAAGTAGCTGAGGAGTTTGTTTCTTGCGTTGCCGTTTTTGTTTTTGTTACTAGGGTTTCAGTAGGTGGCGTTTTCTTTGAAGCATTTGTTACTGTTATTGTTGTAGTTGTTTCAGATTTCCTTAATGTATCTGCAGTCTGTACTGGTGCATCTGAAACGATTTTTGATATTTCTCTTTCTTGATGCCGCTTCTTATGTTTCTTCTTTTTAGTTTTAATTTCCTCTGGCAAATCTTCTACGCCTGAATCTGTTAAATGAGTAGTAAATTCAATCTTATCTTGGGCAAGCGATTCAGGTGCTGGTTCTGCTATTTTTTCTTCATCAATAATCTCTGTACTGGCAATATTTTCAATTGTTCTTGTATCTTCGGTAGCTTTTTCAATGTTTTCTACTTCGGTTTCAACTTTGGCAGTAGTTTTAATTTTCTTCCTTCCTTTTTCTTTCTTTTCTGCCATTTTTGGTTTTCCATGGTCAATTTTTGGCTCCTGTGGAATTTGTAATATCTCCTCTGTTACAATAAATGCAGGTTTACTTTCACTTTCTTTAGTATGTTTCTTTTTATGCTTTTTCTTTTTCGACTTTTTATCTTCTGGTGTATTTTCATCTACACCAGGTTTAATTATATCAACATTCTTATTATCAAAGTCGATTGCATCAATTTCTATATTATCGGCAGATTCTGATACGTGTTTATCAGATTTTGGCGTGTCAGATAATCTTTTCAAGAAATCATCGCTTCCAACAACACTGGCCCAAGATGCCGCAGTGGTAGTAGTGATGGCGTTTACACTTGTTGAAATCGGTATTTCGTCTAATATTACAATATTTTCCGTATGTAAGGGTGAATTTGATTCTTCTTTACTATAGGAAGTAGTAGGTTTGTTCTCTGTAAGTAATTTTTTAGAAACATCAGTAGTTGCTGTTATTTCGATATCTCTTGATTGATCTTCATTTACACTAGACGAAATAAGTGTATGTTCTAATATTCCACTCTCTTCTTTTTCTAACAGTAAAACTGATTCTTCTTGACTACCAGAGACTGTAGGTTTGTTCTTGGTGGGTATTTTTTCCCAAATATCATTATTGGACGTTATCTGAATATCTTCTGATTCTTCTTCCGTATTGAATGAAATATGTGTTTCTTCTAATATTGTTTTACCTTCTTTCTCTGAAGGTATCACTGATTCTTCTGGACTATCAGGAACAATAGGAGTAAATAATTTTTCGGAAACGTCAGTAGTGGACTTTATATCTTCTAATTGAGATTTATTTATACACGATGGTTCCTCTAGTAGTTTATCATTTTCTTTTTCTAAGAGTATAACTGATTCTTCTTGACTATCAGAAATCGTAGGTTTTGTTTTGGTAAGTAATTTTTCAGAATCATTAGTTGACTGAATATCTTCTGATTCTTCTCTTGCATTGGGTGAAGTAGGTATTTCTTCTAATATTGCATTATTTTCTTTTTCTGAAAATAGAACTGATTCTTTTGAACTATCAGAGACAGTAGGTTTGGTTTCAGTAAATATTTCTTCAGGAACATCAATAGTGGTCTTCTTAATATCTTCAGATTGAACTTCATTTGCACTTGTTGCAAACAGTGTTTCTTCTAATAGTTTATTATTTTCTTTTTCTAAATGTAAAATTGATTCTTCTTGTTTATCAGAAACGATAGGTTTATCAGATTTATTTTCAGTGGGTAAATTTTCAAAAACAGTAGTAGTTGTGTCAATTTGTAAATCACCGACCTCTTGTAAATCACTAGTTTCGGTATTCTTTATTTTTTCAGGTTCTTCTGGTTTACCTAGTGATTCAAACATTTCTTCTCCTGTTATATTAATATTTTCATTGTCATATGGTTCATTTATTTTATCGGATGATTCCGTTTCTATATTTATTTCAGATGTGGTAAAAGTATCTAATTTTTTATTTTTGATAAATTCGCTGTCTGACTTTTCAAATGATATGTCGACATCAAATTGATCATCATAAATTGGATTTATCTCGACAATAGCCTCGGAAATATTTTCTTGTTTTGTGGTCTTCTTTTTGCCCTTTTTCTTTTTGATTTTTTTATCTTTAATAATATTGTCTTGATGAGCTTCGGATAGTATATTTTCAGTAACTATATCAACTTGTTTCAGTGGCTGATGAATATCTTCGCTTACAGGTTGCGACTGAGTTTGTAAAGCAGCGATTGTAGATTCTTCATTAATATTTTCGTGTTGAGCAGATTCATTGTTGATGAATTCAGAAATCGTTGTAGATTCACTAATCAACTTCTTTTTGGGTTTCTTTCTTTTCTTTGGTTTTTCAGGAATAATTTCCTGACTTTCACTTTTTTGCAGAATTGACTGAGATGTAGCAGTTGACATATCGTCCGTTTGTATAGTTTTAGTTTGGTCAAACGTAGCTATATTTTCTTTTTCGCTTTGTACATTCGTATCTTTTTCTGGCTCTACTGAAGCTTTCGATTTTTTGTTTTTCTTTTTCTTTCCTTTGCTTGGCTCCGATGCAGAAATGATTTCGCTAGAATTTTCCGCAAAGTCATTCGCGGAAACAATGTTTAGCGTGTGCACTTCTTTGGGCTCATTTTTCTTTTTATTTTTTTTACCTTTTGGTTTATCAGAAGTTTCTAATGTAAGTGATGAAGTTTCACTAATATCTGCGGAAACTTCTACTAATTTTTCTTGGTTTGTGATTATTTCGGATGGTGTATCACTAACATGGCTCTCTTTTTTGATTTCTAGATCCTTATGTTTTCTTTGTTTTCGCTCCAGATAGTCATCCTTTGGAATATCAGAAAGTTTTGCCTCTTCTTTCTTACTCTTTCTTCTATTACTTACTTTGTCTTCATTTTCTGGGTTAAGGTATTTTGAATGTGACTTATTTCTTGGATGTTTTTCTTCTGGCTCATGTCGATTTGCCTTTTGATCAGCAAATGAAATTTCTTTCAAGGCTTTATCAATTTCGTCTTCATTAGACGATGTGGTTTTAGATTTTTTGTGTTTGTGTTTATTATCTCTTTTATCTGTATTTGGGGAAATGGGTTCTATATCACTAAATAAGTCTTGTACAGGAAGTTCCTTTGCCTCACTACCACCTGCGATAGAATCGACAGGCTCTCCATGGTAATTTGGCGGTGGAACATTTTCGATGTGGCCGGGTCGTTTATCTTTCTTTGCAATTGGTTTTTTATGTTGCTTGGGGGCAACATTGGGGATTTTCTCCTGAGGTGGAGTATCCTTCCTAACTTTGCGCGTTTGGTGCTCCCTCGAATTAGACCTCGTATCTTCCATTTGCGTGAATGTGGATCCAGGCACTGGAGATTTTTGTCTGGGGGCTTGTCGTACGTTCGAAGGTTGCACTGTTGCTATACTGGATGGCTGGAGAGATTTCGCATTGAGTCCCTGAGACAAAACTTGCGCGTACGAGAAATGCGAACCAGCAACATCATCGTTCGTCGTTTGTGTTGGTGGCTCTCGAGACACTTCTTCGTGCGCTTGTTGAGGCTCTGGAGTAAGTTTTTTCTTCTCTCTATGTTCAACTGGTAAATCTGAACTACGTGTAGTGGTGGGCAACGCCTCCACATTTGTTTTTTCGGGCACTGTAAAACTAGATTCATCTTTGTTTATGTTTGGTTGTTGCATGTAATCGTCCCTTAAATACTGAGGGGCATTGTATAGTGTCTGTTCGTTATACGCATTAGAAAACTGAGGTGAACTGTGATAGGTTCCTAAACCAGAACTCATTAATTGCTGTCCAGAAGCTATAAAATTCACCATATCTGGAATTGGTTGAATATAATCTAAGACATTTGGTTGTATGTGCTGCTGTGGGATATTTTGAGCATAGTAATTCTGCTGTAATTCTGTGGATAGTGGACCAAAATGGCTGGGCTGAAATGCATAAGGATTTTGTGGGAATTCATTCCAGTTTTGGGCATGGGCAGGCAATACAAATTGTTGTCCTTCAGAATGCGACATAGTTGCTCTAAAATCAATTTGGGGCTGAGTTGGTTGATAAGTTGGCTCAGGTGTCGGTTGTACAGGTTGATATTTGTTTTCATAGATGTGTGGTTCTGATTGTACATATGGCGTAGCAGTTTCACTTGTATGCGGTTCCTCTTGAATTTGTGAAACGGTTTCTATAACGTGCCCTTTTATTATTTCTGGTTTCTGCTGTACTGGCAGAGTCTCAGCCTTTACTGGTTGTATTTGAGGTTGACTTTTAGTTAGTATCTCCGTTTTAGGAGAAGGAGTATCTCTTTCTTCTGAAGTTCTGTATTGACCTCTCAAAATCTCAGCATAAGAAGTTTGCCCTGGTAACCAAATTGGGCTTGGGGACCGTCCTCTTGTTTTACTTTTAACAACTAAACGTTCAGACTGTGGTTTTATGGGACTAGGAGAACGTTCTCCTGGCGCGTTAATGACGGAAGGCAAACTATCTTCAGCTACAGCAGAATCGCTTTCTACTCTCCTATCATCAATTTGAACAGTAATATAGTTTTCTTGGTACGTAGGTTCTTCGGTAGTGCTCGCTGGTTTGTTGATTCGTCGTCGTGGTGACCGACTTCGTCTGGGTGATTTCTTTCTGTCTGGTTTTTCTAGTTCAGTAACCTCAGTTTTCGTGATTTCTGGTTCTAAAATTGTTGGTACACTATCGGGTTGGACAATGTTTTCAGGTTGTGCCGGTTCGGGTTGTTGTGGCTCAGGGACGAGCGATGCGCTGGTTCTCTCCAGTTTGTTCGACGAAATTATTTCGGGTTTTTCGCAGGCAGGTGAAGCGGATCGGCGTTCTTGAGATTTCGAGCGGCCGGCGGCGACGTCCGCGTACGAAACCCCAAGTAGTGTGTATTCTGAGGTGGGTAGGACGTAATGGGAATCCACTTGTCGGATGATGGTGATCAGTTCGGAGATCCTCAGCCGGTAAGCTTCAATCCGCGCCTGTTCACGTAGCAACAATGCAATATATCAGTAACGCGCAAAACAATAAACACGCGTAAGATGGTGGCTGAAACGCGTGTGATGTCAATATAGGTGTTTATGGTCGGGTCAGGGTTGGTGGGTCGTGTTCGGTGGTTTTGTGGTGGGAATGGGACTGCTAAGTGCCAAGTGGCTCGGGGTCGGGCGTGCCCCGCTGCATAATAAGTTTCATGCGCTCGTTCCGCGCCGCCAACTTACTCTGCAAGGCACGAACACGATCTCTGCACACCTGCACCGTGGCACGGGAATGGACGGGAGTGCAGCAAAATGAATAAAAAAACAGAACGCTCCGTGAGAAATCATCAAACATGAGCAAACATAAAATTAACTCGATTGTGTTCGCTTTCTGGCTCACCCAAATAAATAATGTAAGCATGAAAATTATGTGTGTAGTGTGGATGATGCTCAAAACCAGTGTCGGTGAATGAGATAGATAGTGAACACAAAACCAAGTGATAAAATGGTGAAATCAAGCATAATGGCATCTACAAGCAATGTGGTAAGAATGGTAAAAGCAATAAAGCAGTAAATGAAGCAAATAGTAAACCAATAGAGCCCGAAACCAAAACAAACACAATCCCCGCTGCCAGGAGGAGAGGGGCGATGGAAACACCTTGATGAACGTGTCAGCCACCTCTTCACGCCCTCTTCTCTAATAATTTTTCATCAAAATGTTTCCAAGATTTTTTACGGATAATTTTGAATTTTGAATAATTTTCATTCTGTAAATGTGACACACGGACATCATTTGTGGAAATGGTAATTGTTTACATTAAATCTCCAGTTTTACTAATTTTGGCTTCACTACGGCTGCAGTGCGCTTGGGCGAAAGATGGTTGTGGCATGATCTGACTTAATCTTAACTTCTTATCATTGTTAGATACACCGACACCAGTAAGAAATGAGTGGGAGCATTTTCGCCATTCAGCAATTCTTTTACTCGAGTACAACACTTTTTTTTTTATTCAAAAAACAACAATGCATACTTACCTCAACCTTTATCTGAAAAAGTATTGTGCAGCACCGCGCGTAAAAGAAGTGTTTTTTCATTTTGAAAATGCTCTCAATGTAATTTTGAAATGGAAATTAGTAAAAACTATTCTAACATGTGCGTTATGTAGGAAATGAATATAGATAAGAAGGTACTGAAAAAATATCTGATTGTGGCAATTCATATACACTATTGTTTATTCCATTGGGTATTATTCCACAGACAGTCTTATCCTCAGATATTTACCTTTTTTTTTTTAAATTATTTATTCGTGAGGAATATCCAATACAATAAACAGATACCCCACATTTTCCGCAAAATCAAGTTAATATTCCAAACTGTACCTTACTATATACCCCCACTAAACGTTTTACTTACGCTTTTTAGCAAAAAAAAACCGAAGGGCAAAAATTAATTAAAAACGAAAATGACTACAAATATAAGACAGGTACTATTTTAGTCACTGTGGTACGGCACCAACAGTTCATGCCACCTCCATCTATTCTAGACAACAACGGTAAGTATTTGTAGTTAATGTCCAAACGCAACGGTACCCTACCTGTTGGTCGCGAAGTGCTTGGTCTCTGTCGTGCGGCAGGTAAGTGGGCGCCATGGTAGTGCGCAGCTGTTGCTCGACCTGCGCGATTTGCTGGCGAAGCTGCTGGACTTCCAGCTGGTACTGGTCGACCTGGGCTATAGCCGTCTCCAATTGGTCGCACTGGTCCTTGATATTTATGTTAAGCTCTTCTAATTCTTTGATGAGATCCTCTGCAGACTGGGTTACCCGACTATCTCCTCCAACTCCCGACCGGAAGTGGAGCTAAAAAATACATTTTTATAGACTCATTCATCAAGGTTTAGTTGAATAAACAGTGATAAAAAAATGATGTATTGTCGTACGATTTCTTGTAAATTAACAGTTTTATTTTAAACGTATTTTTATTTTAATTGTTTTTAAATTTGCCCTACCTGTAGCTTCTCAACAGATAAGGAGATTTTCGTTTTTTGAATTTGTATGTCCGCGAGCATTTTTTCTCGCAAACCGTGTTGGTCCCTGAGTGGTTTCTTCTTGTTCTGTTGAGATTCCAAAGCAGTCCTTGTTTTATCTATCCAACTTCGAACGTCTTTTATTTTCTTTTCACATTGCTCCCACTCTTCAGACGTCTCTTGTAGTAATCCATTCTAAAAAAATATATAATTGAAACATCATATGATTTACTAATTACTAATTTGTAAAGTCAAATATTTTACCCTTTCTATAATAAGTGCTTCAACTTCAGTCTTGGCAATTTCGGCTTCTTCCATTTTCTTTGGTAGATCCCCAACGCTTGTCACACTGCCGATGTGTTCTAATTCTTTAGCCATATCGCTTAAATTCTTCGTGGCTCCCTTGCAGCTTTTCGCAGCGTTCTGAAAGGAAATTTGTCATAAAATTTTGTTGCTGGTCTCATTTTTATGTCAAATAGAATATTTTCAAAGGCTTGACAGTCACTAGAGGCTTTTCTTATTAGATATAAATAAAATCCTTAAAATATAACCAAGTTCTATTTGTGGTAATACTTGCATGTTACTAATAGCATTTTGTGGCATTAATTGTAAGAGTTAAACCTTTCATGCAATGTGTCAGCAAATGAATCTAACAGAACATTATTTCGATATTTCAACTGGGTTATTTAAACAAAAATATCTTTAAATTGGTATGAATTATTCACATAGGCTTGACATAATAAAAAAGTTACTTATTACTTACGGAATAGTCGTGTAGCCTTTGTTTCGCCTCCTGTAAAGTGGTAAGATAAAGTGGTTCCCTGAGGAACACCCTCTTCTCTTGAACCCAGTGCATGACTGCTTCGTATAAGGTGAGGAACCTTTGCCAAGCATCCAAAGTCTCGCCGACTTGTTGCCTCCTCTCATCTAATAGAGACTTTAATTGAGACAATTGATCGGTCAGGTTGTTTATAGTTGATTGCACCATGTCCTTTTCTTCATCGTCTCTAGTCTTCCCTATGATAGTCCTTCCGTTTCTCGTGAGCTTCTCCAGCTTGTCGGTGGTACCGCCGATTTCCGATTGGATTTGTTGCAGGTGTTCGTGCAATATGTGTGGCTCGATGGAGCGGTCTTGCACCTTCAACTCGGCGTCCTTGATCCATAACTGCACTTCCTCGACCTCGCTGATATAGTCCGTACGGATTGTGCGGGCCTTCTTGAACTCCCTATCTTTTTCCTCCATGGCACTAGTGATCGCCTCGGCTAACAACTCTAATTGGTTCAACTCTTGAGCAATGTCAGAGGGCACCAGTTGCTGCGCTTTGTTGTACCTACTTCTGAGGTCTGAGCAAAATTCCTTAGCGTCTCTGATCTCGCTGTCGACTTTCTGTCGTAGTTGCGTCAAATCCGCTTCGGTGCGCGTCAGATTCTCATCAAATACGTAGAAATTGGTGACTTCTTCTTTGAGATAATGCAAGGCGCTCCTCTTGTGCGTAATATCGAGGAGGGCCTTCTCAATTTCTTTCAGGTCTCTATTGGCTTTCACTCCCTTTTCTCTCAAGCTATCCAAAAGCCTGGAAACAGAACAACAACGTTATATTTACAAGCAAATAAATAATATTCGGCGCAACGAAAACCACATGTAACGTGTTTTTTGAATTACAGCTACTGCTAGACATATTTCAGTGCGCGCGAGTGGGCTAGAACGAACTATTTTTAATTCTTGACCTCACAGTAAGGATTAGATTGTGCCAAAATTTCGTGCGGATACAACGGAGAAAGCAAACTTTATTTCGGTGTCTGCATTTTGAATCACAACTCTTCGTTGCACAATTATGATATAATTTTTATAAATACTAATGTTCTAAGAAAATATACTGTATTGCTTTGCAGCGTCGTGTGTATTTAAGAATATTCAGTCTTGAATATATCTAAAATTAAACTCGTATCCGCCTAATTTGCAAGGAATTCGTAGCTTTGTGCCCTCGACGTATATTTAGCTTTACAGTCGTACAATTATAAATTACATTTGAGTATAACAAAATTATCAGGCTGCATTATACTTTGGATAATACATTTTGTAAAGGCATAAATATTTACATAAAAGTTTGTTTGAAAATAATTAAAGGAGTATCGACTATTCGTTTATTATTATCCCTAAGTATCGAATTTCATAGTCCTTCACTTAATCCTTGGCATGTAAACTACACATTTACAACCGGCCCCTGGATTATATTCTGCAAGTTGCACGATTTTATTCGACGAATCCAATTCTGAAAACTTTATTCACCTTATCTAGAACGGCTCACAGTAATCGAACTACAAGCCAAACAGAGACTTGTCTGAAAATATTACGTAAATCACTACCACGCAGGATATTAAACAAATAGTAATCCTCGTGATGAAACAAATGAATGCACTATGAGTCACAAAACACAGCGAATCAAGTAGGTATCCAGCCAAGGGGATGAGAAGTGTGTCAGTATGCGGTACCAGGCAGTGTATACACCCCAGCAAGTACTATCCAGCCATCCAGTGTGATCGGACCGTAGTTTAGAATTGAATTCGGGAACGCAGGAATGAATTTTCGGCGTCGCGACGGAGGCATTTGCGCATGCCGGCTGACTCGCTGTATTGCGATGTTTACTTGAATTTGCTTAATTATTGTCACGTATCTATTTCAGCGGTAGATTTGTTTCAAATAAATTCTATACAATTCATCTGATATTCGTGCAAAATATACACGTTAGATTTCGTAATTTCTGTTACAATTTTAATGTTTAATGTTTTACACTTCAAATTGGATCAATTAGGTTTTGAGATATCAATAAATACAAAATGATGTATCTAGATTTTAATAAGGAAAGTTTATATCTATATAATTAAAAATGTTGGCATACAAGTGATAATCCGTTTCAATTTCGACTTGATTCTTGAAAAAAGCTAGAGCATGTTTACCTAAATTTTAATCTACTATTTTAGACATTATTTTAATTTTTTTAGTTTTATCCTGACTTTAAATTTTGCAGAGGTAGTCAGGTTTTCATAACACGACTTTTAACAGTCGATAAAAAACCCAATACTAAGAAAAAAAAAATATAAACATGAGCTGTAGGTCTGAAAATGAATTAAACATTTCTTTTTCTGTACTTCAATAACAAAATAAGACTCTATACAGGGTGTCCCGAAATTAGGAGGCAATATTTCTACGGGGTGCTCTATGTCGAAAAAGGTTACTTTTTCTTTATATAAACGTGGATCCAAAAATTCTTCCTAAGGAAGCTATAGCCACTTAAAGGGGCCAATCTAATGATGGTTTTTTCTAAATAACTTCGAAACCAGTTGAGATAAATTTATAAAATTTGGTAAAAAGCTTAACTCTTTCGTGCTCAGTCCGCTACTAAAACGAAATCTACAAATTTTCATCACATACGTTCCAACACTGGGGGGAGGGGGTCAAAATTTACCATAACTTTTTTATGCGTTGACTTTTTTAACTTTTGACTGAACAGTATGAAATTTAATAGTTTTTTATGAAAAAAAGGCAGTCTTGGTTAATATTGGTAGAATGTTCCATTTTTGTGTAAAATCTGTTTAAAAATAATGTTACATGTGTAATCACCGGAAACAACAACATGCGTTTGGCGTCATTTGCATTGACAGTTCAGTTATTTACTCTTTGCCAAGTGTTATCAGCCGAAAATGCAATATTTTACCAACGTAGAGTTAGCAGATATTCATAATACCCATTTCCGGTCAAATATTGCATTTTCGACTGATAATACTTCGCAAAGAGTAAATAACTGAACTGTCAATGCAAATGATGCCAAACGCATGTTTGTTATTCAAAACCAGCGATGATAAAAAATATTGACATCGATTAACAGTGAATAACACATGTAACATTATTTTTAAAAGGATTTTACACAAAAATGGAACATTCTACTATTATAAACCAAGAGTACCTTTTTTTTCAAAAAAAAACTATGAAATTTCATACTTTTCAGTCAAAAGTTAAAAAAGTCAACGCATAAAAAAGTTATGGTAAATCTTTTTCAACATAGAACACCCCGTAGAAATAATGCCTCCTATTTTTTTGGGGACACCCGTATTAATCTTCTACTTCTATTTGCGTTTAATTATTTAGTACTGTGAAATAATATAATTTTTTATAGACGTAATTTTGTATTAAACAGAAACTGAACAACAAAAATGAAATGACTTCAATTCCCCGAAATGGGTCAAATTAAACATAATTTTAAACAAATAATTCAATAAAAGTTCTCCGTGATTACAAGTAATTGTTCCTTGTTTTGAATTTTGCTTCTTTATCCACCTCATTTTAGTTCTCATCTTTCATTCTAATATTGAGTGTAGATTGCAGGTACTGTGTATTTTCGTATTTTACTCAAAAGCGAAGGAGGTAGTAGTGACCAATTTTGTTTAAATCAATAGAAGAATGTAAAAAATGCAGAAAAAATATTCATGCAAAATTGGTGTGTGTGAAATTGAGTGTTAAAATAGAGCACTATACTTTTCTTTGTTAATGAGTTAAAAATAGTAAAAAAATATTTTGAACACTATATTTTGGAAATGAAACATTCTATGAGCCACGTCCATATAAATTTTCTTCAAATACAACTGTCTACTGACTGAAAAAGCCTTCCGCACCATGTATAAATAATTTGATTTAAGTACAGCATAAATTTTATAAACAAAAAACAGATTTAGTTACTTTAAGCTTTGCAACACCATATAACATAACATGAATATATTTTTATGATCATGACCTAGAACAGTACAAAACATTTTTGTAGTTTAATTGAAAGCAAAATGCCTCGTTAATTACAAATGAACTCGTCATTTTTATTTATATATAATTAACATTTAGAACGATTGCTTCATTATTTATTCTATTTATATCATTTATTACAATTTTTTTATAAATAACAGAAAGGTATACTTTGAAATTAAAAATCTACTTATAAATAAAAGCTGCTTAAGTATGTTTGATGATGCCAAACTTTGAATTAAAATTTTAAATTTCCACAAATAATATTAAATATAAATACATATTATCTTTGAACATAGTTATTAAAGTCTATTATTATGTATTAGCCAATGATTCTTAAAATGTTGAGCCAAAAATAAATGCTTTATTTACACATGTCTCATAATGTTGTGAGCTTTCATGGCACACTTAATTTTTGTTCCGGTCTAGTTTTCAGTAAATATAGAATATGAAGAATGACTATGCTTATATTTATGCGCAATATTTTTTTTCTCATCCACTTATTGTTTTAAGTCAATGTAGTACCGAAATAAAAATCACATAATGCGGTGCATAAATTACTATCAATTTTAGAAAATATAAGAATATGTAAAAATAAAATCATACAGTGTGCGTTTCAAATTTAATTAGTCTCACTTCAAATTTGAATGGTGGTCAAAATATAAACGGAGACAAATTCGTGGTGTTAAGTACAAAGGGTGTTAAAATTTGAAAAGAGACCACATTTTCTAATAATTTCCTCAAAAGGTTTTATGCGGAGTAATGAAACTGGCCAAAGATTTATTTATGTAAATTCGAATATAAATATGTCAGCCAATGGTGAAGATACCTGGAGTCACTATGACAAGAATAAAAAAATAAAAATCGACGGCAGTGGATTGGAAATTCAGTCGCTGCTTGTAGCTCCTAGCGGATTGCTAAAAAATGTGTTTTCTATTTTATTCCAAAAATAGGCCAGTTTTGAGCTATTATTTTTTGCTTTTATCAAATATATGAAGCACATAAATAAATTTAAAATAGTTTGAAAACTATTCGTCTGGCAAAAATGTTGATACGATTTTTCCCCATGCTTACATTTTAGTCATTTTCCTTTTCCAGTTAAATTTGGAATCAAGTGTATCTGTCTGCCATAAAAAAACAGAAAATCAGATAATGACTACTTGCTAGTATATCGGTTAATAATAATGTTCAAAATATTAAAATTGACTAATATACAGTGTGTCCAGTTTTTCAGTTTAACGTCTCTAGAAATGTGAGAAGGCTGTGAACTTTCCGCAAGCCAATTTTTTTACAAATAGTACCCTGAAGGGAGGTTATATTCTAATAATCATTTTATTAATGCGACAAAAGCCTGGCCTTCTACGATTTTTTAAAAGAATCGTTTTTCCAGAAAGTGGCGTTAGGCATTTTTTTAATAAAAAAGATTACCAGGCCATTCAACACCCATCAAAATACCCATGTACCTTTGATCGACAAATGTATAGTGAGTGTTTTTATGGGGTGCCTAACTTCGAAAAATTGGACAACTAAAAATTATAATAAGCGGAGATGAAAGTGAAAACAAGTAACAATCTGACAAAGAAAAATTCAGACACTATAAATTTAATACTTTTAGTTGCGGCCACAGTAAATATAATAATTAACGTACAAAAATTGTAGTGAATTATAAATACTAAGTTTTTAAACAAAAAATTGTTAAACTTTAATCTAAATTAATATTGCCCAGAAAATTAAGAATATCTTTCAATTATGGAAAAATATTTATCCTTACAGAATACAAGC